CCCCCTCCACCTCCTCTCCGCCTCCCTCCATCCCTCTCCCTCACCTCCTTCCCCTCACCTCCTCCTTCCCTCCCCTGCCCCTTCACCTCCTCCCTCCATCCATCCATCCCTCCCCCTTACACGCTCTCGTTACAGGGGCTCGTTCAACGACGGCACGACGCATTTCTACACGGCGTGCGTCGTCGAAGCCATCGGCTACCTCCACACTAAGGGCATCATCTACCGGGACATGAAACCCGAAAATATCATCCTCGACAACCGCGGCTACGCGAAGCTGGTGAGTGGCGCCCGCTAGTGCGCTCCACTTTCCCTCCTCATCGCTAGGTGGCGCTGACGGCGTCTCGATCGTTGCAGGGGCTCGTTCGACGACGGGGAGTGCATGTTTTACGCGGCGTGCGTCGTCGAGGCGCTGGCGTACCTGCACCGCGTCGGTGTCGTCTATCGCGACCTGAAACCCGAGAACGTGCTGCTCACGAGCGCGGGTTACGCGAAGATCGTAAGTTACGACCTCCCCTGCATCGTGTCGCCTCCCCGCCGACCGCCAGGCGGCGCTGGGATCCAGAAGCGGCGGCGGCGGTGGCGGCGGTGGCGGCGGCGGCGGTGGCGGCTGTCTTCTGTTGACTAACATAGTAGAGAGGTTTTTTTCCGCCGAATTCCCGCGCGTCCCGCCGGGGCTCTCGGTGCAGTGGCTGCGAGGTTCTCCTGCTGGCTTCTCTCTCTGGCAGAGCGTGACACGGTGCCACAAACACACACATACTTCTCTCTCTTACCTTTCTTGCTTTCTCTTTTTCTCTCTTCTCTCTCTCTCCCCTCTTTCAGACTCTCTCTCTTTCTTCGGAGGAAGTTGGAACGAGGTTAACATTTAAATGGTTAAATGTTTATAAAATGCAAATAGTGGTGATCACTGTGTGGGATGTGACGTCGTGTTCACGACCTTGGTGTGACATTGGTGACACTGCTGATGCGCTGAAAATTCGAGACATCAAATTATAGCGTCAGTCTAAACTTTATTTTAGCTGAGAGGGTCTATGTCCCCCGGAGTACTGCCGGAACGTACCCTGATACTATCTAATATGTC